GTGCCCTGATGCCAGACGCTGTTGTGACTGTGAGACGTAGAGATCCTTGATGGCCTCTTGAGCATTTCCCTTGTGCATCGTCTTGAAGGATCTGGAAAAAACTTAAAAAACAACCAATAGTCTTGCAGCACCTTCGAGACTAACAAAACATGGAGATGGTAGCATGAGCTGTCGTGGGCACAACCCACTTCTTCAGATGACTGGAGTTAAGGGGTTCAGTTTCCAAATAAATAGCAGAGAAAGGAGGGGGGGAGAGAAGGAAGGAGAAGGGGAAAATATTGCCAATAGACTGTCTCTGCTACATGGAGCTGGTAGAGTGGGTACTACGTGCTCTCAAGTCCTGCTTTCTTTCTTGTCATTGGGATGTGGAATGTAGCAGGTTATCCAGTGAAGGTCAAGATGGGGTGGCCAGGACAGCCCTTGCAAAGTGCATCTTCAGCGATCTGGGCTCTGGCTTCCCACTCTCTGGCTTCCCAGGAGAGGCGCGTTCTTCCCAGCTCGCAGAAGGAAGAACCTGCCCGAGGCTTATGGGACGTGCTGTCGCCCGGCAAGTCACTGGCACGAGTTAGGGGCAGGCCTCTCCGGTCCATGGGTCCCGCTGCTGTGCCATGACCGTGATACCGGCGAGGTCCCTGGCTAATAGCAGCGCGCTCTGGCTTATCGCTGTCCTCTCCGGAACCACCGCCCGTGAGAGCTAGCGTGGGCTGCCCTGCAGGGCTTGCACAGGGCCCGGGCTCACACACAGCAGGGTGCCACGTGCAACGGGCCCAGCCTGCACTGGGATGCCCTGAGCCAGCTGTTTGTGTCTCATGACCTTGCCACTGGGTTGAACTTCCAGCATCTGGTTCTCCACAGATCAGTTAGGGTCCCTTTGCTAGAGCTGCTTGTGCCTTCTGCGCCTCCCCTAGTGTGCTCCTGCAAAGTGACACGCCCAGGGCTGGGAACTAACAGACAGGGGGGGATCGTGAGCCTTGTGCGCACACAGCTGCTACGTGAGCTGGGGCGGGAGCAGCAGCAGCGTCTGCATGGGCTGGTCCGAGGCCTGGAGGAAGCTGCTGGGCAGAGTTCATAGCCCTTTAACCCTCTCTGGAGGAACAGCTTAGTGGTGACAGCTGTTGCCTGGGGCTGATGTCCTGTAGGGAGCGGGGAAAGCTCCACAGTTCAGACTGGATGATTACTGTGGTCCACCCTGCCCTTGGACTTGATGGCCTTAGAGGTGCAGTAGACAGTTGGCCTCCCGTTGGCCCAGAAGTCTGCACTTGGCTCTTTGCCAGCAGGGCGTTCACGCTCTCGCACGTACGCTGGGCAGATGGTGAGTAGGTGCAGGGTTCTCCTGCTGACACGTGGTCACGGGAGAATCTTCACTACAGACGCTCGTGCGGCAGGCGGAGCGATGGACAACGTGCCTGTCGTGCAGCCGTCAATGCTGATGCGCGCTGTTATGGTCTAAGCCGGGCGCTCCTGACCCCTGGCAGCCCCTCACGTACAACAGCCCCGGGCTGGATTTGCTTGTCATTGCAATTTTTCCTCCCGCTTTTCAGTTCTGGCAGAAGAGGCTGTGTTTAAACTCAGGACACCGGAGAATTTTGTCTCTGCTCGCTGATAATGCGGAAGCCCATAAATCAGACTTGGAAAAGCTCCATGAATCTAATTGGGTAAATGCTGATCTTTAAAGTGAAACCTCCTGGAGCGGGGAAGAGGCCAGCCTGCCAAATCCATCTTGGGTTGTATGAAGACGTGATGAAGCGGTTGTACCGAGAGACCTTGCCTGGCTAGGCAGGAGGGTTGGTTCTCCTTTGCGCTGTCCCACCCAAATCCCTTTCTCAGCCGCTCAGTGCAATTCCCACCCTCCCCTTTCCCTGCATGCAGGACGCCCTGAGCTCAAATCCAGCATGGGGGGGGGGGGGATTTTCAAAAGGCAGAAAGGGCTGTTGCATGCTGGTGTCCCGTTTGCACCTTGGAAAATGTTCCCTTTAGGTCACATGAGGGGAAGAGTTTTGCTTCCTTTTAATGTCCACATCACAAACCTCTACACAGCAGATTGGGGTTGGCAGCCTTTCCCTAGGAGAACTGGGGCAGTAGGAGCTGCAAGGCCTGGTACCCTGTCCATGACAGTGGCCTTCAGGGGTCCCTTAATGGACACTACGGAATAGTCTGCCTGTATGGGAACTTGATTTCTAGCTTCCACCAGGCCAATCTGACTTGTGCCTTGAGGCCTGAGATGTCAGAACAGTAGTGGGTAACCTGTGGCCCAGCGGGGTTCTATGTGCACCCCCCGTCCCTGCCCTGCCCCCGCATGTCTCATGCGTGCTGGGGGCCCCACGCTTACCTACTCCACCCTCTTCCCCCCAGCACTTCCGAAGCACCATGAATCAGCTGATTTGCAGCGTTCTAGCTCTGAGTGGGGACGGGTGCGAATCAGCCAATTCGTGGTGCTCCGGAAGCGCTGGGAGGAAGGGGGAGGAGGGAGGGAAGAGGTTGGGTGGAGATTTGATATGGTGAAGTTAAGCGTCAGTGTTTCTTTTTGTTGTTGTTTGAAGTCGATGCCCGTTCGATTAACGTAGGAGCGGTGACAGCGTTTCTGCTTGTGTTGAAATATTCAGCGCGCCGCGTATGAATGTATCGAACCTGATTCTTAGGGTCTTGGTTCATGCGCATGACTGATTTCAATCTGGCGGCCCACTGAGGCAAAGGAGGAACCACTAGTGCAGCTCACTCACTGGCCTTGGTTGCCCATCGCTGGTTTATAGCCCTTCTAATTTTTCCTGTCTAATGTAACTGAATGGTCACTGCCATATTGTCCAGGCTGTTTCTAAATCCTGCGAAACACTTGGCCTCAGTGAGGTGACGGCTAATTGTGCTTTTCACGTCATTTCCTCTGATGGGTGTTAATTTTGCTGCCTTTCAATTTCACTGATTGTCCCCTTGTTCTTGGGTTCTGGCCCCCCCCTGCTCACCTCCTGTGTGTCTGTCACATCCACATCCCCCTGCATGGCCCTTCCCCCCCGCCCCGCGGATCCCTGCTCACGTGGAAGTGGTTCCAGGCCTCTTGCTTTGTGCCCTGGCCAGCAGGTGTGAGCCCTGCCGGATCTGCATCCCAGCAGGGAAGGAGGCGAACGTGCGGCAAGTCTTGGTCGAGACAAAGTTGGGCTGAGAGCCCAGCACTGGAAGAACCGGACTAGCAGGGGCGGTGCAGGTCAGAGTCGGGGAGCTCACAGGTGCTGCAAGGTGAAGGCAGCTTGCACAGCTCCAGCCTGCGAGAGCCTGGCTCTCGCTCGTGCAGCTTTTCCCTCATTTTCTCCACTCAAAAGCTGTGTTAAAGCGCCCGCTGCCACAATGCTATGCATGCTGGTGGGCGTGACGCCAGCCTGTGCTTTTGAATGGATCCTCCCAGTAAGAGCGAGGCAAACACCCCTCCATCCGAGTGTGAGACCAGCTTCCACGGCCACAAATGTGCCCCCGGGTGGCTTCTCGGGAGCCCACCACAGTCCTGGCCTAGCAGCTGTCACACGGCTGCAGAGGAACTGAGCAGGGGACAGATTGTGCTGGGGAAGGGATGTTTCAGCTTGGATCTTGGGGGTTCTGCAGAGAGAGGCTAGCGTAAAGGGCGGGAACGTTCCCAGCCCCCTGGAGTGCAGGCAAGGGGCACCCGGCCCCCAACGCCAGCCCTGGCTCCCTCTGCCCTGAGGAACTGTCCGCATGAGCCTCGGCAGCTGCCCTGCCAAGCCCAGGGCGCAGCGTCTTGACGTTCTGGTCGTTGATTTTTATGCCTCGTTTATTACTGGCTGGCTCCGGCTTCTCCGGTTGGGCTCATGGCTCGGGGGTGACTTTGTAACGTGTCGTCGCACCTTTTATCTGAGCGCTTCCCGGCAGCGGGCGCTTCCCCACTTTGCAAACGGGGCCAGGAGCGGCTCGCCCCAGGGGTCGCTGAGTCAGCGGCGCAGGCTGAGGCAGGTGTGAGACGAGGGCGAGATCGGGGCCTCCCGAGTCTGTTTGCTGCTGGCCCCGTGGGAACCAATTCCCACGAGGCAGTTGGCTCTGAGCGCGTGGGGGGCCCCAGCGGCACCCGACTTCCCAGCCCGCTGCTGCCCAGGCTGGAATGGAGCGTGGATCTTCCCAGCCGTGAAATCCAGGATCGCGGTATGGTGATTTGAGGGCTGGACTGCCAGGGTCCCTGCGTGTTCTCAGCCACGCTAGGCTAGGTGGCCGTGGCCCGAAGATGGCTAATCCGTGCCTCTGTAGCCTGTCCCTGCCGTGTCCACCCGCTCCTGGTCCCGTCCTTGGGGCCGCACTGCGGAGCGCGCCGCACAAGCGGCTGCATCAGTCGGGAGCGGACGCGCTGCCCTCTGTGGTGGGCTGAGCCGTTCCAAAACGCTTGGAAGGCGCCTGCTGGGGTCTGGCTGCAGAAGGGCTGAGTCATGCGTTTTCAGGGGGCGGGTTTTTCTAGCCCAGAGGCGGGTTATAATGAGTCTCCAGGCATCTCCGGGGGCCAACGCAGGGTCTGGTTTCCCCGGCAAGCTGATCTGTTCAAACAAACCTGCAGGGGCCGTTGGCCGAGATGCCGGAGGCGCGGACGGAGCAGCTGGGCACTCCCTGAGTCGGGGGGGACCCTGCCTGAGCGAGGGCCGAAATGCTGGGAGCTGAGACCTGGCTGTGCCCACGTGGGATGGGGAGAGAGAGCTGTGGGCTCCCAGCTGCTGCCAGAGAGGCCTCTGAGCCACAGTGTTTATGGAAGAGGGATTAACAGCTCTGCATTGGATCCCTGCCCGACTCGGCCCCTGGCACCAGGCCGGAGCTGCTGTCCCCCAGGAGAGCCAGCTCAGCCTGCTACTGCAAGGAGCCGGGAGGTCGTCCTCCTTGCTATGCCTGGCCTGCGGGAAGCAGGGGACCCGGTTCTCCCTCCCTGGTGCCTTGCCCACGGGAGGGACTTGGGAGTTTACCGCAGCGACCCCCGACGATGGTGGGAGTCCAGTCTCTGCAGAGTCGGTCGGGTGGGCTTTCCTTGCAGAAGGGGGGAGCTGTGAGCCCTGCTAAGCTGGGTCTTGGGGTCTCTCCCCTCCCCCAGTGGCTGCAGCACAGAGTGACGGTGCCAGCTGGGGTGGGTGTGTGTGATGCAGCGCACGACACAAATTGCTCAGCCCCCAAATGCATGGGCGTGCAACCCGGAAACCCGCCACCGCCGGGGCCTGGCCTGGCCTTGGAGATCACCCCCATCCCCCTTTCCAGGAAAAGGCCAGGTGTGGCAGGAAGTGCTGTTGACCCTGTCGGTCGAGTGCTTCCCAGGTGAGCGCCCGGCCCCGCCTCCGCGTGATGCCCGGGTCACCCGACTGCTGGAGATGGAAAGCCGAGTTCCTGGCCTGCAGCCCTCCCCCCACTTTGTCTCCCGCCCAGACTCCAGCTCTGAGCAGCCTGCTCCGTCCCTCCAAGCGACCCCGGTGGCATTTGCGTGGGAAGTGGCGCGTGCGTTCCCAGCGGCGTGACACGGGCGAACATGCTGCTTCCTGACCTCCGCCGTGGCGGTGCTGGGGACGGGCTGCCGTGCCTGAGCCCAGAGCTGGCTGCATTTCCCTGGTGGCTTCCAGGGCTGAACGTGTCCCGCCTGAGCGGGGCTGCGCAGATGGAGGAGGCTGGAACTCAACTTCCCGCATGAAACTGGGGGAACATTTTGTTTGCAGAAAGCAAAGATGCGGGGAGGGGGGCAGATGCACCCCGGATGCATTTCTTCCCATTGGAAGGAGCAAGGAGAGGGCAGGCAAGGCTGGAAGTCGGGGCAGCGCTTGGGAGCGAGATGGGAGGAGAAACCGCCCCGGTGCACTGACGGGCAGCTGTCTGCGATGTGACCGCGTTAGGGAGGGTGTAACAGAGGCTCAGCCCTCGCCCAGCATGTCCTAGCGGCTCCCGCCTCATTTCCCGGGGCTGGCACGGCTGAGGTGAAGCTGGGACTGGCTCTCGGGGAGAGGCTGCTGCTGGGATTCCGTGTGCGGAGTGGCGTAGTCGGGGGTCAGGCCCGCTGACGTCCCGTCTGTCTGTCTGTCCTTCCAGACTGGAGCCCCGCGGTGAATCTCGGCGTCTTCGACTGTGCCGAGGTGGCCAATCAGAAATCCTGCGGGACGTTTGGCATAACCGGCTTCCCGACGTTGAAGGTAAACGTGCGCCCGGGGCGGGCGGCAGGAAAGCGGAGCTGGGGCAGTCGGTCTGGAGGCAGGGCGTGTACCCAGCGTTCTACGGGCTCTGAAATAGCTGCATCAGCAGTTCCTTGCATGGCGGCTCAGGCTGTGAAGCCTAGTGGGTGGGGACCAGCCTGGGAGGCTCACTCCGACAGTGTGGAGGCTCCCTGAGGCGTTCCACGGGGCTGGTCCCCCCCCCCGGAGGCTCCGGATCTGTTCTGTGGGCTCCAGCCCGTGTTTTGGTTTGGGTCTGAGCCGCAGCATTGGCCAGGATCCCTCTGGAAGGGTTTATCTCAGCGCTGCACCAGCAGGCTGCGTGTGTTTGCGATCCCGTGCGTGTGAAATCTCTCTGGGCCCGTAAGAGGGTGGCCGCGGCTTGGCCAGGGATCCTGGCTGGGGAGTTTGGAGGAGCCGGCGACCTTTGGAACTTGCCGGCCAGCTGGCTTTTGTCCCAGCTGTGTGGTTCGCTGCCCCCTGAGCATTGATTGAATCCAGATACCCAGGACCTCTGAGGGGCCTGTGCCTCGTAGGGCGCTGGGGGTGTAAGAGAGCTGCTGTTGTCACTTCTGGCCTCTTCCTGCCAGGTCAGATGAATGATAATCTTGCATCTACCTATCTAGCAGCCCGTATACACTCTCGGGCATTGGGTAGGAATCGCTTCCCCTAGCACTGAAATGCAGCCACCTCTGCAGTAAGATACAGCAGCTGTTCAACTCTGCACAGCAGCCCTTGCCGGACGGACTGTGAAGAACATGGGAGATTGCCCGAGCCACCGGGGCAGGCAGAATGCAGTGAGGCCCAGAGGAATTTGGCCAGGAGGCTGGAGCGAATCCAACAATTCTGGTTAAAAAATACCAGGGGAGCGGCTACCAGTGATGGGCCCGTCACTTGGGGGTCTGTTCCCCAGGGCGCGGCAAGAATTCATCCCATCTGCTCGGCGCTCTGAGAGCGTCCCACGTCGGCGGCTCTGTAGCTGTTGGCAGTCAAATTGCCCTTCCGGTCCTGCGCCCAGCAGAAGTTGTGTAAATATCTATCGTTTAACTATTTCCTTAGGCAAACACAGACCCGTCCAACGTAAGCAAGAATGCGAAAGCGTCGGCGATGCCTGGCTAACGGGCAGTGAATTCTCAGACCTTGGAAATGCCTCGGAGTTCAGCTGCAGGGCTAAATTATTACCTAGCGTTTACCCAATGGCCTGGCTATGCTCTGAGTTCGCAGTAAGGGAGAGCAAAGCTGGGGACGGGTAGTCCTTACCTGTCATCCCTCCTGCTTCCCAGCATGCCTCTTGGCTGGGCTCCTTTCCCAAGGAGCAGGGACTCCGAGTGCCTGAATCCGCTCCAGTTTGGAAGGCAGCGTGCTGCCTTGGATCTGGTGCAAAGGGGAGGACGGCGTGTGGCCTTTTCAAACACCTCTGCCACCGACGTTTCCCGCGGCGACCCACTGCCTCTCCCAGGGAGGCTGGCGGGGAGTCCTGCGTGGCGAATCTCGCTCTGTGTCTAGAGCCTCTTCGGCATATTTGAAGCCAGAAGACTCCTGGGAGCGTGTTTTGCTTTTTGCTTTCTGCACACGCGGGTGAACCGGCTTTGGCTGACCTGGAATTCGAGCTTAGCGATCGCCCGGGAGCAAAGAGGATGCCGGTCCCTCGTGTTGGCTCCTGGGCGTGTCCAAACCGCGCACGTTATGAATGGCTGCCCTAGAATTTACCCTCGGGGCTGTGAATTGAGTGGAGGGGCAATGGGCTAGCAGGAGCGAAGAGCCGTGCTTCCTGGCTATAAACATCCTGGCTATAAACCCCCCCCCCCCCCCCCCCCCCTCCTTTTCCCGCC